TTTTAAAAAAAAAAAAAAAAAAAAAAAAAAAAAAAAAAAAAAAAAAAAAAAAAAAAAAAGATATTTCAGCACCAATACTGAAGGGAATGATCCAGTAGAGACAGAGAAATTGATGTTGCAGGAGAAAGTGGACAACTGCAAAAGCAAAGTGTTTGAGTATGTAAAAGAGTCCAGAGGGGTTCAGTGCCAAAATAAAGGAAAGGAGCAATTCCCGCTTAACAGCAGTGAAGGCAAGGTATATGGATACAAATACAGTAGGTTGGGAAATCAGATATCAGGAAAATGAAGAAATTCCTTTCCAATGGCTTCCAAGTTACTGAAATAAAAATCAGGAATATCTTCTGAGATAAGGAAGGGAAGAAGCCGCTGCTGCTTTTTCCAGTGGGTACAAGAAAGAGTGGGGCAAGGACACGTATACAAGGAGCAATGGGGAAGATTAACCATACTGTCTAATCAAGGTAAAAAGGGAAGTAAGTATATAAAGCAGTAAATAGAGAAGTCAAAGAATAACTGAAATCAGATTCCAGGGGAGGTCAGAGAGTGGGATCCTTGAAACTGTGGTTTTGGACATGGTGCAATTAAAGATAAGTTCAAAGTCTGGAATATCAAAATAAATGAGTGGCTGAAAAAAATCTTAAATTTCAGGTGTGTTTTTTGTAAAGAGCACATGGCTGTATTTTTCAAAATTCAATTTATTTTTTAATTGGCAAGGTCTGGTCCATTTTACATGTATTATAACAAATGATAAAATATATGTAATTCTACTAAATCATTTTATACTTTCTATTTACCCTATATTTTTTATACTTCTTATTTTCTTCTTTCCTGTCTTCTATTGAATTAATGAAGTTTTTGTATTCCCTCTCTTCCTCTCTAATGGTTTAGAAGTTATAAATGGTATAAACTTATCAAAATATATATTATTTAACCACATCAAAAATTAATCAATACCTATTTCCTCTTACAAGACAATCCAAGGTTCGTAATGCTTTAGTCCTGACTACTACAGTCATGTCTTTCACATTATTATTTCCTATAGTATTTTAGTTTCATGTGGTTTTGTAAGTCCTAAAGTGGTCATTATAATTATTTTACAAAAAAAAATGCTTGTTTAGATTTATTAACATGCTTACTAATTTCTTATTCACAAATGAGATAAACTGAACATTCCTCAAATACTATTCTTTAAATGGCAAAATGAAAGCCAGTCAAAAAAAACTTTTTTATAATATTGAAAAGCTATTAAAGCCATCCTAGCCAATTAAAAATACTATAAACTTTATGAAAGGTTAAAAAAGAAAACAAGTAAATTAAGTGAATGTTCACTGAGTATTTTGTCATGTGGCATATTGGCTTTCAGAGAATTGTCTCTCAGCAAATTGGTGATTTACAGTAGGCCTCCCTAAAATCCTACTACAAGCAATGGCCAGATCAGCAAGAGGGATGATCTTACAAAAAGGTTTGTGAGACTACCTAAATACTGCTGTGAATGGGCTCAGGGACAAGAAATGGGCAGTTTTAATAAATCAGTCAAAGTCTGAGTTGATTTTCACTATACAGATTGTAGAGAGAAGATTTTCATGTCCAGCTTCCATTTTTAAAGATGGACTACTTAGGAAAGTATGTAGGTTTTAAATGTAGAAAATCATTATAATAATTAATAGGACCTAGAAAAAAAGAAGTATGAGAAAAGTACATTTTTATTTCTTCTTTCTAGGTTCACAGATATTGATAAAAGATGTCTACTCTCCTGGAAAGCATCATGGCCATCATCGACCTTTTCCACCAATATTCAAAAAATGATAAGGAGACTGAAACACTAAGCAAAAAAGAGCTGAAGGAACTTCTGGAAATGGAGTTTCGGCCAATCCTGAAGGTAAGAGCTGTTTGACAGAACCAAAGACTAGAGCATTTCTGCTCTTCATCAATAATCTAATCAAGAATTATTGTGAATGCCTTTTAAATTATTTCTCTTCTGGAAAAAGAATAAAGTTAGTATTATTGCAAGACAGATAAAACTTCTTTTCCTCCCTTTATGCCTTTATACATGATACAGACACAAAGAGATACTCTCTGTAAAAATAAATAAATAAATAAATAAATATTTAATTACAAAGAAATGAAGGCCAACTGACTCATTATGATACTCTTCCTCCCATCAAGATTGTTAGGAGGGTATATTTAAAATACAACTCATTTGTGGATTATATAAAGTTCTGACTTTTGAAATAAGAAAAATAAGAAAACCTCATCAAATCTTTTTGGGATACCCTACTAGTCCTTAAAATTTGTTTGTATTTGTCTAGCACCTATACTTACCAGCCAACTCAGGATAAGATTTTAAAAAAAAAAGAAAGAAAAAGAAAAAAATAAGTAACAAATTTGTTTCCTGTATTAGTCCGTTTATGTTGCTATAACAAAATACATGGAACTCAGTAATTTATAAAGAAAATGCAATTTATTTGCTTACGGTTTCTGTGGCTGGGAAGTCCAAAGTCCATCTGGTGGTGGTGACAGTGACCCAGGGGGTGGGGGGTCTCAGACTACAAGATGGCAGAAGCAGAGAGAGCAAAGAGAGATAGACTCAGCTCTTTTAAAGCCCTCAGAACCACACCCCTGACCACCACTTTTAATCCACTCGCTGCAGCATGGTCCTATAATCCAATCACCCTTTCAGGACTCCACCTTTTAATTACCATAATAGGATTTCCCACCCTCTTAACAGTCACAGTGGGAGCTAAGTTTCTAATACATAAAACTTCGGGGACACAATTCAAGCCTCAGTGAGTTTTGAGTGGACATAATTCAATCCACTACAGTTCCACTATTTGGTACCAAGAGTTTACATTCCCTGAAGTAACTTTGAATGATTTAACTGATAATGTGAGTCAGTCTGATGTACTCTCCCTCTGTGACTTCCCTCTAAATAGCATCCAGATGACCCAGATACTTCTGATATCTTCATGCATATACTCGACATAGACCACAACCAGAAAATAGACTTTGCTGAGTTTTTACTGATGGTGTTCAAGTTGGCACAAGCATACTATGAATCTACCAGAAGACAGAACTCCCAAAAATCAGGGCCAAAGCAGAAAAAGCACAGACAGCATTATCAAGATGAAGCAGAGGACATAGAAGAAGAGGAGGAGGAAGAAGAAGGAGAAACAACAACCAGTCTTACAAGAAGAAGTGATGGAAAACCAAAAAAGGCAAGATCCAAGAGCCCAAGAGGAAGAGGGAAGACCAGACCTGGATCTAGCTCTGGAAGTGAAGGAAGAAAACATCATTCGTCTCCTTGTACAGGAAGAGAAGGAGGTGGAAAAACACACCATCAACCAAATGGGAAACTGAAAAAGAGGCATAATTCTACTGAAAGTAGAGGAAGAAAGCACAAGACAGATGTTAGTCCCTCCAGCAGAAAAGGAAGAAAAGAAGGTGATTATGGTTATAAAAATACAAGGGGAATGTGTGCAAGTTGGAGAGAATTAGGCAATACAAACTCATACCACAAAACCGAGAATGACACATTTAGTACCACTGATATGCAACAAAAAGATAAAACAATTAAAAACTCTGAGTCTCATAAGCAAGAAATATCACGTCAAGTACAAAGCTCCAGAAACTCACAGTATGCCCAAGGACAATTATTATTTGGATCCCAGACAAGCAGACACATAGGATCCAGGGAAAGTCAGGACAGTAATAGCGAAGAATATTCTGCAGATTCAGACGTAAAATCCCAGTCTGGTTCCAGAATCCAACGAGGATCTGCCAGTGACCATTCCAGGGATGGCTCCAGAAACTCTAGGCCTTATCAACAGGAAAAAGTGACTCATGGACATTCTGAATCCGCCCCTGGAAACTCAGATTCCAGTAGCAGAAGAACACAGGGATCTACTCATGGACAGTCTGGAGACAGCTCTAGAGGATCAGGCTCTCAAAATGGAGACACTGCCTCTCAAGGACAGGCTGGATCTTCCCATGGGCACTCAAGATCAAGCCCAAGAGGAACACAAAAATTCCACAATGAGGAGACAACAGAGAGCTCCACACAATCATGGAATGGACATGTACATGACAAATCCCCCTACTCATCAAGGACAAACAAAAACAGGGGGTCCAACATCAGTGAGAGGATCGAAAGCGAAGAACATTCAAGAGACTCAGAGAGACAACACGAATCCACCAAAGGAAGCTCTGCACCCAGCAAGAGGAACCAACGAGAATTTGCACAAAGCCACTCAGGGGAAAGGACAAAACACTCAGCTTCAAATCGAGGGGAAGAGGCTGCACACAGGCAGTCTGAATCTTCAAATGGACACCCCAGATCAACCACAAGACAAAGACCATGCAGCCATCAGGAGCAGTCAGGCAACAGATCCAGGCACTCTGGAACTGGACATGGACAAACCTCATCGGCATCCAGTGACCATAGATATCAGGGATCCAATGTAGGTCAGGCCAGTGATAGTGAAGACCCAGACAGCCCATCAGTGTCAGCCCATGATCACTCTGGGGTAAGACACAGCAACCAACAAGAAACTGCACGTGGCCACTCAGGAGAAAGATCTAGGCACTCTGGCTCACATCAAGGGCAGGAGGCCACACACAGGCAGTCTGACTCTCTTCATGGGCACGCCGGATCTAGCACAAGAGACAGACAAGGCAGCCATCACGAGCAGCCAGGAGAAAGATCCAGGCACTCTGGAACTGGACATGGACAAACCTCATCGGCATACAGTGACAATAGGCAACATGGATCCAACATCAGTCAGGCAAGTGATAGTGAAGGACAATCAGAAGTCTCAAAAGCCCAGTCAGAGTCAGCCCACGGGCACGCCAGGGCAGGTAACAGGAACCAACAAGAATCTGCACGTGGCCACTCAGGGGAAAGATCTAGACACTCAGGCTCACATCAAGGGCAGGAGGCTGCACACAGGCAGTCTGACTCTGTTCATGGGCACTCCGGAACCAGCACAAGAGAAAGACGAGGGAGCTATCATGAGCAGTCAGGAGACAGATCCAGGCACTCTGGAACTGGACATGGACAAACCCCATCGGCATACACTGACCACAGACATCAGGGATCCAATGTAGGTCAGGCCAGTGATAGTGAAGTCTCAGACAGCCCATCAGTGTCAGCCCATGGTCACTCTGGGGTAAGACACAGGAACCAACAAGAAACTGCACGTGGCCACTCAGGGGAAAGATCTAGGCACTCTGGCTCACATCAAGGGCAGGAGGCCGCACACAGGCAATCTGACTCTGCTCATGGGTACTCCGGATTGAGCAGAAGAGAAAGACAAGGCAGCCATCACGAACAGTCAGGAGACAGATCCAGGCACTCTGGAACTGGACATGGACAAACCTCATCTGCATCCAGTAATCGCAGACATCAGAGATCTAACATCAGTCAGGCCACGAATAGTGATGACTCAGACAGCCCATCAGTGACAGCCAATGGGCATTCGGGGGTAAGTCAAAGAAACGAACAACAATCTGCACAAGGCGACTCAGGGGAAAGATTTAGGCACTCAGGCTCACATCAAGGGCAGGAGGCCGCACACAGGCAGTCTGACTCTGCTCATGGGCACTCTGGAACCAGCACAAGAGACAGACAAGGCAGCCATCACGAACAGTCAGGAGACAGATCCAGGCACTCTGGAACTGGACATGGACAAACCTCATCTGCATCCAGTAATCGCAGACATCAGAGATCTAACATCAGTCAGGCCACGAACAGTGATGACTCAGACAGCCCATCAGTGACAGCCCATAGTCACTCTGGGGTAAGACACAGGAACCAACAAGAAACTGCACGTGGCCACTCAGGGGAAAGATCTAGGCACTCTGGCTCACATCAAGGGCAGGAGGCCGCACACAGGCAGTCTGACTCTGCTCATGGGCATTCCAGAACCAGCACAAGAGAAAGACAAGGCAGCCATCACGAGCAGTCAGGAGACAGATCCAGGCACTCTGGAACTGGACATGGACAAACCTCATCAGCATCCAGTGACAATAGACATCATGGATCCAACATCAGTCAGGCAAGTGATAGTGAAGGACAATCAGAAGACTCGGCAGTCCAGACAGAATCAGCCCAAGGGTACGCCAGGGCAGGTAACAGGAACCAACAAGAAACTGCACGTGGCCACTCAGGGGAAAGATCTAGGCACTCTGGCTCACATCAA